TTGGTTCTTGGCCTATAAGAGGTGCTCAAAAAATTACTTAGTGAATGAACAAACTCAACTTTGCTATAGCGGGAGGAAACTCTTGGACCTAAAGTCTACCAGTTGAAGCAATTCATAGGTATAGTCTGGTGTTTCTCAGCTCGGCATAGGTTTAAAGTATCAAACTATTGATGAAACAACGCATGGCCTGCCTCACTTAGCTATACTTACTTCATGAAATCTAAGTTCAGAATGGAGAATTAGATATCTGCCTCTGCATACTTCTCAAATATGTCCAGATCCTTACATTTTATTGGCTAAAAAGAGCAGTGCCAAATTTCTTATGACAGTCTTCTGTTCCAGTAGGCTGAATTATTAAAAATACACCCCCATGGAACTCAAAAGCTACTATGATAGGGGAAACAAAAAAAAGGAGAGCCACAAATATTTTTATTTTTCCTGAAATAATATTTATGCCAATATCATAAATATGATATTTATGATTAATCATATTATGATTAATACTGTATTAAATGTGCCTTCCAGGGGCTGCTGTTTGCCACTTCCCTGAGTGTGCAAGTTCTGATTCTGTCACTGACTGACCTTTAGTGCCAGATCAGATTTTTCCCTGCATCCCTTATGATCTCAGGAGAAATACTGTCTTTTGCTACTGGATTCTAAGTAAGCCTGAACTTGCTTTTAATGGAAAGGAAGTGAACTTCCCTGCCCTTGAAACACCCTTGGCTTTCAGCAAGAGCTCCTATTTTCCCCTTGACCATGGCTGGAGGATGCAATGGCCTTGGCTCTGCTTCCTTAGATTCTCTACCCTTCTTTATCTTTCCTGTCTTAGACTATCCTAAGAGGCTGTCTGTGCATTTCGCTGCTATAAATTCACCAACCCAGATATTCCATTCTCCTCCTCTCCTTTATCTCCTCGTGTTTTCTAAATAAGCTCCTTTTTAGTCATTTTAACTCCACCCTCATGCTTTATCAAAATTTAGGGCCAGGCATGGTAGCTCACGCCTGTAATCCCAGCCCTTTGGGAGGCTGAGGTGGGCGGATCACCCGAGGTCAGGAGTTCAAGACCAGCCTGGCTAACATGGTGAAACTCCGTCTCACTAAAAATACAAAATAATTAACTGGGCACAGTGGCACGCACTTGTAAATCCCAGATACTCGGGAGGATGAGGCAGGAGAATTGATTGAATCCAGGAGGCAGAGGTTGCAGTGAGCTGTGATTGTGCCACTGCACTCCAGCCTGGGAGACAAAGTGAGACTCCATTTCCAGAAAAAAAAAAAAAAAAGAATTTCGCCAAAGGTCCTCTATTTCCAGTTACTCTTCATATCTCCATTTATTATAGCCCATTTGCAGATGGAAGGCATTGACTTCTCTGCCATGCAACTCTCTTGAGGTCGAGTTACTGCTACTCACTCTTTCCTCTGCTCTCAGTTCTCTGTTCTGGCTTCTGTTATACAGTTGATGGAGATCATCTGTTTAACAAACACCCTGCCTCCTGCAACCAGATGAAGATGTCCTCCAGGGCAGAGATTGCAGTCTTTCATTTCCATGTCTCCACCAACAGCATAGGGCCTGGCACTTAGCATGTGTTCATACAGTGGTGACTGACTGAACAATCTGTCTTTTCAAACATGTCGGATCCCTCATTCACATTTCCATAGACATCTCCAGCCCTCCACACTCAAGTATGATCTCTAAATTCCTTCCATAGCTTGTGGTGTCCTTGAGACTGTCTTTTATTTATTTATTTATTTATTTTTATATTTTGAGATGGAGTCTCACTCTGTCGCCCAGGCTGGAGTGCAGTGGCACGATCTCAGCTCACTGCAGCCTCCGCCTCCCAGGTAGCTGAGATTATAGGTACGTGCCACCACGCAAGGCTAATTTTTGTATTTTTGGTAGAGACGGGGTTTCACTATGTTGGCCAGGCTGGTCTCGAACTCCTAATCACAGGTGATCCACCCACCTCGGCCTCCCAAAGTGCTAGGATTACAGGCATGAGCCACCATGCCGGCGACAGTGTCTCTTATACCTGTGTCATGTGAATGAATGATTGCACTTACAATCATTTTAGGGAAGAGCATCTGAGTATGGAATCTTAAAAGTGCAATCTGTCGCCCAGGCTGGAGGGCAGTGGTGCGATCTGGGCTCACTGCAAGCTCCGCCTCCTGGGTTCACCCCATTCTCCTGCCTCAGCCTCCCGAGTAGCTGGGACTACGGGTGCCAGCCACCACGCCCGGTTTTAGTAGAGACGGGGTTTCACTGTGTTAGCCAGGATGGTCTCGATCTCCTGACCTCGTGATCCACCCGCGTCGGCCTCCCAAAGTGCTGGGATTACAGGCGTGAGCCACCGCGCCCGGCCAAAAGTGCAATATTCTAAGTGGACTTACATATACGGTGCAGCTTGAGAGGGACTAAAAAGGATCTTCTTCCAAAATCTTTCCCTATCCCTCTAGCTAGCCTATCCAGTTGCTTAGAATTCTGTCATCAGAGTTTCATACTTTTGGGCTAATGGATTGTTCTATCTCAACACATACACACACACACACACACACACACGGCTGTATTAATCATTAATAAAGTCAGTTAGGAGTATTAGTGTAACAGATCCTTCTCAAATGAAAATGAGCTGAGAATCGGATCTGATGAGAAGGGATAAGAGACAGGAACGTGTGGGGACGTGAATCCAGTACTGGCATTGGGTGGGGAAACACCATGAATAGTCAGGGAGAAGGATGCTGAGAGCTAGAGGCTCTTTTTTTTTTTTTTTTTTTTTCTTTTCTGGTTTTACTAGGTTAGGCTTTTAAAATATAGGCAGGAAACAAACTGTTAATGATCTGAAACCTAAAAACTGTGGACTTCTAAGTTAGCAAGCCCCAAACCTCATCTTTTCTCAACTAGCTGCTTTTATCTAGACAACTAGACCATCTGAAGTCAAAAAGGACCTCAGAGATCATTTTACGCCCCACCCCCATCACTTTTACAGATGAAGACATTCAAGCCAAACGGGATTAAGTTATCTCGCCCAGGGTCTCACAACAAGTCCAGACTAGATCCTGGACTACCCCGTTCGCCTTTCCAGGAAGAACAAGTAATTACGCTTATTATAATCGCCACACAGCTTCATCTAGAGAAACGTCACTCACTGATTTTCAGAAGCTGAAATAGGTTTTCCATTCAATTAACCACAAACGAGGTCTTACATATATACTTATTAAAGGAAACTCACAGAAATCAAGTTCTACAAATTGCAGTTAAAGAACATAAAAAACCACAACTTTGCCAAATATACCACAAATTAAACTAAAGGATATTTTAGTATTTCTATGATTGATGGGGGTATGTAATTTCAAATACTGCACTTTCTCACTGAGATCTGTGCTACGCGGCTCCGGGTTCCAGGGACGTTTTCGTGCTTACCTTCTTCTCCCGCATGCTTAGAAGCCTTTGGACCTCTTGTGCAATGAGGAAACCCCAGGGTAGCTGTGGGCAGTTGGCTGAGTAGAACCAGAAATGTAAACATAGTCTGGCAACTGTCAAACAGACTAAAACAAACAAAAAACACATTAAAAAAGGCCCCTAGCTCAGCACTTTGAGTTTCTGTCGAACTGAATCACCAACCTGTTGTACTCAAAACCTAGGCACAAGAGCGCCGGCGCGCAGTTTCGGTCGCCGGGACCCAACGCACGCCCAGAAAGCAGCCCCCGAGAGCGCCTGGGACAAACGCCGCGCCCCGGGACCCTGCCGAGGGCTGATGGGGCACCTGTCGCCGCAGGCAACCCTCGGCTATGTGTTGGAATCCAACCCAGTCCGCCGAGGTGGCCCCTCCCGGTAACCCCCACTCCGCCGAGGTCCCGCCACCAAGCCTCGTACCTGTGTCCCCCTGCACATGCTCCAGCAGCCCCCGGGCCAGAGGCTCGTCTTGGGGCGATTCCTTCGGCCGCCAGGCCCTAGGTCTCTGGCGCCCTCAAATCTCGGCGACGCTCCGGGCCTGGCTCTCCGCAGGGTCTGGGTGGCCTCAGCGCTCAAACCCGGGAAGCGCCTGGGGTTCCGCAGAGGGGCGCCCGGGGAACAAGCGCGGCGCGACGTCCTGCCTCGGTCCGGGGAGGCGGCCGACGGAGGAAGGGAGGAGGCGGCTACCTGGGGACACCTGGCCGCGCCCCACCTCCCGGGGGCCGGGCCTACCTGCGGCGAGCGAGTGGGCAGTGGGCCGGCGTCTCCCCGCAGCCCAGGCTGCGCTCTCAGCCGCCCCAACTTCTGCCCCAGCCCCAGGCGGGCCAGCCGCCTGCCGCCAATTCTGGCCCCGCCTTGGCGGCGCGGGTAGCTGCTTTTCGATTTGTGTCTGCACTCGGCGTTCTCAATGCTCCTAATTCAGGGAGCATTTCGGTTCTCAGTCTTAAGCAGAGCGCCCTCGGCGAGTCCAGGGCTTTTCGCTTTGGGTCCCACTGGGCCAGGAGTCCTGTGGTTACCTTAGGTCAACTGTTCTCAAAAGGGTGGTCCGGGGACGAGGACAAGATATTCATCAGACAAAATACCCTTTATGCGTGATAAGAAATGGGAATGGACTTACAAGTAATTGATTACATTGGTTCTCCAATGGTGGTCTACCAGGTCTGGGATGTCTCCAAGATCTTTTCCAGGGGTCTCTAAGAGCAAAACTATTTCCATTATAGTAACAATACATGATTTGCCATTTTCACTTTCATTCTCTCAAGAGTGTACAGTGGAAATTTCCAGGGACTATTTGACGTGAATAACGTCATCACTCTGTCTCCTAATAGAATACCTGAGTGCGCGTGCTTGTATTTTCTAGTATTTTCCATAGCAGTATGTTTAAAGTATCAGTATGTACATTTTATAGAGATTTATGTAGATTTATAGAGATTAATAAAATTCATTCTCAGAACTTCTGAACTTAATTTTTTTCTTTTCTTTTTTTCTTTTTCAGAGTAGGGAGTCTCACTTTGTTGCCCTGACTGGCTCCTTAAACTCCTGGGCTCAAGAGATCCTCCTGTCTCATCCTCCAGAGTAACTGGAACTACAGGTGTCCACCAACTCTCTTGGCTACTGCTTTTGCACTTTGATTAGTTCTCTTTGTTCATATCTACTAGGATAGCTATAACCTCATTTTTCTCAAATAATTATCTTGAAATCTTGATCTTTTCCTTGAGTCTATGCATAAACATAACAAAAAGTATGCTATGTTGTCTTGATTTCAAATAATATTTTGAAAATTTCTCAGTTTTAATGTTAGATAATAAATATCATTAAATGCAATTCACATAAGTGAAAGTTCTTTGGGGTTCTCGATAATGTAAAAGAGTGTAAAAAGGTCTTGATTAAAGACTTCAAGAACTGCTGCATCAAGTAATAAATGCAGCAGGTGGACAGAGGACCTATGCCAGGTGATGGTCACAACCTTCTTTATCCAAAGAACACGCTTAACAATTCTTTGAAACACTATTTATGCTTTGGTCAAAGTGACCTGACACTTGATGGGGGCCAAGGGAAACATTTTTCCTCCTTCAATTTTTTCTTTTTTTTTCTTGAGAGAGAGTCTTGCTCTGTCACCCAGGCTGGAGTACAGTGGCACAATCTCAGCTCACTGTAACCTCCACCTCCTGGGTTCAAGCGATTCTCCTGCCTCAGCCTCCTGAGTAGCTGGGATTACGGGCGTCCACCACCATGCCTGGCTAATTTTTTGTACATTTAGGAGAGAGGGGGTTTCACCATGTTGGCCAGGCTGTTCTCAAATTCGTGACCTCAGGTGATCCGCCCACCTCGGCCTCCCAAAGTGCTGGGTTTACAGGCATGAACCACCGTTCCTGGCCTCAAATTTTGACTAATTCAATTTTTACCAAATTCTGTTTTTCTCCTCCCAAAGGATATTGTCTATTTTATTATGATTATTGATAATCAACTGAATTCTTAAGTTTTCTGCAGAAATTTTGTTTTCACTGATTCCTTCTAGGCAGTGCTTTTCCTTTTCCTTCTTCCAATCCCTCCCTCTTCACTTTCCATTTGTCTGCCTCATGGTCTAAACTATTTCTATGATGGATTCTTCCCTCCCTCTTATTCAAGCAATTGAGATCAGACTATGAAGAGGCCAGACATGGTTTATTGTGGTTGAACACAAGAATAGGAAACATTTTCACTAGAACACCCATTTTCCTGTTTATTCATTGAGTCAAGCTACAGCACTGAGTCCTCCTGGTGGGGAGATGGACACCACGGCGTCTGTTATGGAGGAGAACTTAATCTGGCTGAGACCTGTGTCTGAGAATGTGGGCCTGTAAAATTCTCATCAAGTGCAAGAACTGACTTACTCATTTTTGCATCCTCCATAGTACCCAGGGGAGTGCTTTCTACGTCGTTCATGCTGAATACATTTTAATGGAGAGAAAGCAATTTATTTTCAGGTAAGAAAAGTACTTCATTTCCCACTACTTTGGGGAGAGGCCAATGGTCAAATGCCTCATGCTATGGAATCAGCAGTTGTGAACTTTGATGACATTCCTTGGTAGAATGAGTCCGCCCACATATCTGGATATTTGGACCAAAACAAATGAGGCCTTGTGCTTACATCAAACATCAGAGTTTATAGACAGACAGGGAGGCAGACAGAGAAATGAAAGTCTGTTTCTCAGTAGTATATTACATCCCTGTGTGTTTCCCTGTAACATTGAGTCCTAGAGAATGTTACAGCATTTGGCAGCATGCACACAAACCTCAGTCACTATGGAGCTGCAAGATATTTTGCGGTTAGATGGCAAAGAGAGAAATGAGAAAAACCAGTAACAACAGTGCCCAAGATAGCTGATTTCTTCTATTATTTCCTTGCTGTATTCATTTTATTTTGTGCCATCTGCTATTTAAAGTTATAATATTCTTGGTCGGGCATGGTGGCTCACACCTGTAACCCCAGAACTTTGGGAGGCCTAGGCGGGCAGATCATGAGGTCAGGAGTTCGAGACCAGCCTGGCCAACATAGTGAAACCCCGTCTCTACTAAAAATACAAAAAAATTAGCTGGGCATGGTGGTGGGCACCTGTAATTCCAGCTACTCGGGAGGCTGAGGCAGGAGAATCGCTTGAACCTGGGAGGCAGAGGTTGCAGAGCGCCATTGCACTCCAGCCTGGGCAACAAGAACAAAACTCCATCTCAATAATAATAATAATAATAATGTTATAATATTCTTATGCCTTTCTTCCAAAGCATTTTTAGTGTTCTCACAGATAGTGTTTTTCTTATTCTGGTTACCTGTGGAGTTGGGCTAGATATTATAATTCTCATTTTACAAAGAGGGATACTGAAGCATGAAGTAAATGAATAGTCATCGGCCAAGTAGTAGCCTGGTTCTTGACTCCAGTGCCTTTTTTTTTTCTTTTTTCTTTTTGAGTTGTTATCAAGCGATAAAGGGCAGCAGGTAAAGACTTACTTAGTTTCAGAGGAAAGAAGAAAAAAATCAGAGCAATGAGATTAATGGACTTGGATTAATGTGATAATGCATCTCTGAATTTGAGCACATACCCACCCACTTACCTGTGTGAATTCAAGAATGAAATGAAAACTCACTTTACTGTGTGGGCATGAGGGTGGACTCAAGGACTGTGACAGGAGATGTTAAGGTTGCAGCCATGAAGCTCTGTAAGTAAAGTCACATCCACATACTTAAAGACACATCGATGACTATCATTAGCCTCTTCAGGAGATGCAACTTTATTGAACTTGCTGTTTCCGTGACATTTTAGCCTTGACATTTCAACATCAATTGTTTGCTGTTTTAGTTTATCTCAGTATACTCAGCAAGTGAGAAATGAAAGACTCCTACTGTTCCAGGTTGATTATATATCTATATGCAGGTATTTTCAGATTCAACAAATCGGTAAAGGGGTTAAGAATTTTATTTTAAACATTTGCTTAAAGCCCTTTAAGGACACTTTTGAACAGAACTTTTATTTAATTCTACCATTTAAGAACAATGATTGTTAACAATGAAAAAATTAAATAAAAGAACACTGTGAGGGATCATCTGATTTCATGTCACACTGTGAGTAATAATAAGGCCTACGTGTCATGCTGAAAATATAGTAATCTTCATAGCTCTTTGAGTGCACTGGAGCTGCCCCCAGGGACCTATGACAGGGACTTGTGTCATGGCTGGCCACAGAACTGTCACTCTGTACTGATGTTGGCATTTTTACACCTATTATACACTTATCAGCCTTATTTTCTCATCATAGTCTTGCTTTCTGAGTGCCACACAATTTTTGGCCTATTTTTTTGTAAACTCATATTCAGGTAATCATATTCTAAGCAAAGATTATTTGGCATCAATTGCAAAACCGTACTTTCCAAACACAACATGTGAAAAAGAAGTTTAAACAAATTATGCATTTCTAGCCATGCAATTGACAGTGTTTAAGAATCATTGATTAATTCTGCATCAGAGGCCGAGCGTGGTAGCTCACGCCTGTAATCCCAGCACTTTTGGAGGCGAGGAAGGCGGATTACCTGAGGTCGGGAGTTCAAGACCATCCTGGCCAACATGGAGAAACCCTATCTCTACTAAAAATACAAAATTAGCTGGGCATGGTGGCGCATGCCTATAATCCCAGCTACTTGGGAGACTGAGGCAGGAGAATTGCTTGAACCTGGAAGGTGGAGGTTGTGGTGAGTCGAGATGGCACCATTGCACTCCAGCCTGTGCAACAAGAATGAAACTCCATCTCAGAAAAAAAAAAAAATCTGCATCAGAGAAAGACAATAATGAAGTGTTAATGTTGTTGGTACTGACTGAAAGACACACATTACATGGAAGTTCTATTAGGAAATGTACCAACCAGGATCTGTGTATCCTCCTTTGGTGAAGGATTCTCCTTTATTATTTTATGTACTGCCCTGGCTTGACACTCTCAAATGAAGTGTGAACTGAGAGTTTTGTTTTGTTTTGCTTTTTTGGAGACAGGGTCTCACTCTATCGCCGAGGCTGGAGTGTAGTGGCAGTTTCATGGCTCACTGCAGACTTAACCTCCTGGGCTCAAATGATCCTCCTGCCTCAGCCTTCAGAGTAGCTGGGACCTCAGGCATATGCCATCACACCTGGCTAATTTTTGTATTGTTTGTAGAGACAGGGGTTTTGCCATGTTGCTCAGGCTGGTCTGGAATTCCTGGGTTCAAGTGATCTTCCTGCCTTGACGTCCCAAAGTGCTGGGATTACAGGCATGAGCCATGGCACCAGGCTTAACTGACTTTTGAAGTATAAAATGTGGATTTTAAAGCATGGTTTCTTTTACTGATGTTTACTGATGGCTTTAGTAAAGTTTATGGATGTTCCTTACCCACCGTCGACATTTCAATCCTGACAGTCCCTTGAGAGCCAAGGAGCGAAATTTACCCATGTTTGTATTTTTGCTGCTTAGTACCTCACTTGGCTGGCATGTAGCAGGACTTCCTGATTGTTAAGTGAATGAAACAATAAATAAGTTCTAATCCTAAGTCTGCTTCTCTCTAGCTAGATGACTTTGAACAAGTCACTTCTCTGAATTCTCTCTGCCTCTTCTGAGACATTGTGAGTTTGGTCTGCATGAACTCTAAGATTCCTTCCTGTTCTAAAATTCTATTTACGTAATGTTCTAATTATTCTTTCTCACTCTGGATAGTCTTGAATTACTTGCTTTTTATATAATTTGTATGTTATATAAAAGGAAATCAGTCATATAAAAATAAAAATTTTAGAATTTATCTTAAACACAAATTATATATTTTATAAATTGCTCACTCACAATTATATAAAATGGGAAGTTAATGGGAAATCTCTATGTGACAAAAGAGATATGAAAACATTTTTAGGGGCCAGGCGCGGTGGTTCATGCCTGTAATCCTAACACTTTAGGAATCTGAAGCAGGCGGATCACTTGAGGTCAGGAGTTCGAGACCAGACTGGTCAAAATGGTGAAACCCCATCTCCACTAAAAATACAAAAATTAGCTGGGCGTGGTAATGCATGCTTGTAATCCCAGCTACTCTGGAGGCTGAGGCAGGAGAATCACGTGAACCTGGGAGGTGGAGGTTGCAGTGAGCCGAGATTGTGCCACTGCACTCTAGTCTGGGCAACAGAGCTGGACTGTCTCAAAACAAAACAAAGCAAAACAAAAACAAACAAACAAAATTTTCAGATTCAACAAGAAGAGCTAACTATCCTAAATATATATGCACCCAATACAGGAGCACCCAGATTCATAAAGCAGGTCCTTAGAGACCTACAAAGAGACTTAGACTCCCACACAATAATAATGGGAGACTTTAACACCCCACTGTCAACATTAGACAGATCAACGAGTCAGAAAGTTAACAAGGATATCCAGGAATTGAACTCAACTCTGCACCAAGTGGACCTAATAGACATCTACAGAACTCTCCACCCCAAATCAACAGAATATACATTCTTCTCAGCATTGCATCACACTTATTTCAAAATTGACCACATAGTTGGAAGTAAAGCACTCCTCAGCAAATGTAAAAGAACAGAAATTATAACAAACTGTCTCTCAGACCACAGTGCAATCAAACTAGAACTCAGGATTAAGAAACTCACTCAAAACTGCTCAACTACATGGAAACTGAACAACCTGCTCCTGAATGACTACTGGGTACATAACGAAATGAAGGCAGAAATAAAGATGTTCTTTAAAACCAATGAGAACAAAGATACAATGTACCGGAATCTATGGGACACATTTAAAGTAGTGTATAGATGGAAATTTATAGCACTAAATGCCCACAAGAGAAAGCAGGAAAGATCTAAAATTGACACCCTAACATCACAATTAAAAGAACTAGAGAAGCAAGAGCAAACACATTCAAAAGCTAGCAGAAGACAAGAAATAACTAAGATCAGAGCAGAACTGAAGGAGATAGAGATATAAAACACCTTCCAAAGAATCAACGAATCCAGGAACTGTTTTTTTTTAAAAAAGATCAACAAAATTGATAGACCACTAGCAAGACTAATAAAGAAGAAAAGAGAGAAGAACCAAATAGACACAATAAAAAATGATAAAGGGGATATCACCACCGATCCCACAGAAATACAAACTACCATCAGAGAATACTATAAACACCTCTATGCAAATAAACTAGAAAATCTAGAAGAAATGGATAAACTATTGGACATGTACACCCTCCCAAGACTAAACCAGGAAGAAGCTGAATCCCTGAATAGACCAACAACAGGTTCTGAAATTGAGGCAATAATTTATAGCCTACCAACCAAAAAAAGTCCAGGACCAGAAGGATTCACAGCCGAATTCTACCAGAGGTACAAAGAGGAGCTGGTACCATTCCTTCTGAAACTATTCCAATCAATAGAAAAAGAGGGAATCCTCCCTAACTCATGTTATGAGGCCAACATCATCCTGATACCAAAGCCTGGCAGAGACACAACAAAAAAAGAGAATTTTAGACCAATATCCCTGATGAACATCGATGCAAAAATCCTCAATAAAATACTGGCAAACTGAATCCAGCAGCACATCAAAAAACTTATCCACCATGATCAAGTGGGCTTCATCCCTGGGATGCAAGGCTGGTTCAACATATGCAAATCAATAAACGTAAGCCATCATATAAACAGAACCAAAGACAAAAACCACATGATTATCTCAATAGATGCAGAAAATGCCTTTGACAAAATTCAACAGCCCTTCATGCTAAAAACTCAATAAATTAGGTATTGATGGGACGTATCTCAAAATAATAAGAGGTATTTATGACAAACCCACAGCCAATATCATACTGAATGGGGAAAAACTGGAAGCATTCCCTTTGAAAACTGGCACAAGACAGGGATGCCCTCTCTCACCACTCCTATTCAACATAGTGTTGGAAGTTCTGGCCAGGGCAATCAGGCAGGAGAAAGAAATAAAGGGTATTCAATTAGGAAAAGAGGAAGTCAAATTGTCCCTGTTTGCGGATGACATGATTGCATATTTAGAAAAACCCATCATCTCAGCCCAAAATCTCCTTAAGCTGATGAGCAACTTCAGCAAAGTCTCAGGATACAAAATCAATGTGCAAAAATCACAAGCATTCCTATACACCAATAACAGACAAACAGAGAGCCAAATCATGAGTGAACTCCCATTCACAATTGCTTCAAAGAGAATAAAATACCTAGGAATCCAACTTACAAGGGATGTGAAGGACCTCTTCAAGAAGAACTACAAACCACTGCTCAACAAAATAAAAGAGGACACAAACAAATGGAAGAACATTCCATGCTCATGGATAGAAAGAATCAATCTCATGAAAATGGTCTTACTGCCCAAGGTGATTTATAGATTCAGTGCCATCCCCATCAAGTTACCAATGACTTTCTTCACAGAACTGGAAAAACTACTTTAAAGTTCATGTGGAACCAAAAAAGAGCCCTCATTGGCAAAACAATCCTAAGCAAAAAGAACAAAGCTGGAGGCATCACGCTACCTGACTTCAAACTATACTACAAGGCTACGGTAACCAAAACAGCATGGTACTGGTACCAAAACAGAGATAACGACCAATGCAACAGAACAGAGCCCTAAGAAATAATACCACACATCTACAACCATCTGATCTTTGACAAACCTGACAAAAACAAGAAATGGGGAAAGGATTCCTATTTAATAAATGGTGCTGGGAAAACTGGCTAGCCATATGTAGAAAGCTGAAACTGGATCCCTTCCTTATACCTTATACAAAAATTAATTCAAGATGGATTAAAGACCTAAATGTTAGACCTAAAACCACAAAAACCCTAGAAGAAAACCTAGGCAATACCATTCAGGACATAGGCATGGGCAAGGACCTCATGTCTAAAACACCAAAAACAATGGCAACAAAAGCCAAAATTGACAAATGGGATCTAATTAAACTGAAGAGCTTCTGCACAGCAAAAGAAACTACCATCAGAGTGAACAGGCAACCTACAGAATGGGAGAAAAGTTTTACAATCTACCCATCTGACAAAGGGCTAATATCTAGAATCTACAAAGAACTTAAACAAATTTACAAGAAAAAATCAAACAACCCCATCAAAAAGTGGGCAAAGGATAGAACAGACATTTCTCAAAAGAAGACATTCATACAGCCAACAAACACATGAAAAAATGCTCATCATCACTGGCCATCAGAGAAATGCAAATCAAAACCACAATGAGATACCATCTCACACCAGTTAGAATGGCAATCATTAAAAGATCAGGAAACAGCAGGAGCTGGAGAGGATGTGGAGAAATAGGAACGCTTTTACACTGTTGGTGGATCTGTAAACTAGTTCAACTATTGTGGAAGACAGTGTGGCAATTCCTCAAGGATCTAGAACAAGAAATACCATTTGACCCAGCCATCCCATTACTGGGCATATACCCAAAGGATTATAAATCATGCTGCTATAAAGACACATGCACACCTATGTTTATTGTGGCACTATTCACAATAGCAAAGACTTGGAACCAACTCAAATGTCCGTCAATGATAGACTGGATTAAGAAAATGTGGCACATATACACCATGGAATACTATGTAGTCATAAAAAAAGGATGAGTTCATGTCCTGTGTAGGTACATGAATGAAGCTGGAAACCATCATTCTGAGTAAACTATCGCAAGGACAGAAAACCAAACACCTTATGTTCTCACTCATAGGAGGGAACTGAACAATGAAAACACTTGGACACAGGATGGGGAACATCACACACTGGGGCCTGACGTGGGGTGGGGAGAGGGGGGGAGGGATAGCATTAGGAGATATACCTAATGTAAATGACGAATTAATGGGTGCAGCACACCAACATGGCAGATGTATACATATGTAAAAAACCTGCATGTTGTGCACATGTACCCTAGAACTTAAAGTATAATAATAATAATAATAAAGAAAATATGTTAAATGGTTTGCAACATCCATAATTATAATTGTCCTGGGCAGATAATAAATACTCAGGCATTAGTTTATAAATTTAAATGTTAGAATAAAAAAGTAAACTGTTTTCCAATGGGATTGCCTCATTGCAAAGGCAACAATTTGGACTAAAATGTTTGTAAGTTGAAAACTTCTATATATTCCTGGGCATGGTATGATTTATATTCAAATTTTGTTTACTCATTTGTTTACTTTTTCCTTTGAGTTTCTAAGTTGCTGTAATTTGGGGTGGGTGTAATTTAGAAGAATTTTGTTAAATTGTGTGATGAACCTTTGCTTGAGATTTAAATAAATATACACATAAAATGTTATAAAATGGTTTAAAATACCTTCTGTTTATTATTGTAATTACTAACACTTGTAAAATAATTATAAAATAAATGCACTACTACTCTAAAAAAAAAAAAGAAAAAAACATTTTCAGGGAGGCTGAGGTGGGAGGATCACTTGGGCCCAGGAGGTCAGGGTTGCACTGAGTTATGATTGCACCACTGCACTCCAGCTTGGGCGATAGAGCAAGATTGTTTTAAAAAGGTTTTTTTTTTTTTTTTTTTTTTTTAGATTTACCATAATTGGCCTCTGTACGCTGATAATTTGATTTGATTTCTGTGTTATCAGGTGACATTATTGCAGAATTTTTCTGTTATCAGAACTTCTACTTTATTTCTTTCTAATTTTGCTATGTTTTTCTTGGGTTTGTATTGAATTTATACATCTTTCTTGTAGTATATCTACTATTATTTCCCTGTTTTAGCTCTGCCACTGCCTCAAATTTTTTTTAATTTTCTCTTTATCTTCAGAATTTATTTATTTATTTATTTTTGAGACAGAGTCTTGCTCTGTTGTCAAGGCTGGAATGTAATGGCATGATCTTGGCTCACTGCTACCTCCACCTCCTGGGTTCAAGTGATTCTCCTGCCTTAGCCCCCCAGGTAGCTGGGATTACAGATGCCCACCACCATGCCTGGCTAATTTTTGTATTTTTAGTAGAGATGGGGTTTTGCCATGTTGGTCAGGCTGGTCTCAAATTCCTGATCTCAGGTGATCCACCCGCCTTGGCCTCCCAAAGTGCTGGGATTACAGGCATGAGGCACTATGCCCAGCCTATCTTCAATATTTTAAGATTTAGAATCTTAAAATATTGGGAATATTGATGTGTCTTTCATCCTTTTTTCTTTTTTAGAGACAAGGTTTCACCATGTTGGACAGGCTGGCCTCAAACACCTGGCTTCAAGTGATCCTCCCAACTTGGCCTCCCAAAGTGCTGGAATTACAGACATGAGCCACCATGCCTAGCCCTGTTTTTCATCTTTAAAGAGAACGATGCCTTTTCTTTATTTTGAGGGATGTATTGAATCTACTGTGAGATTGTTTATATAGACACAATAAATACTGAATAAATTAAATTAATTCTTAATATGGTACCAGTTTTTATCGTTATATGCTTTTCTTTTCTTCTATTTTTGTTTGTATGTTCCTTTTTTCCTATTTCACAATTTTATGTTTCTGTCTCTTTTCCTTCCCTCTTATTTCTTCTAAGTCATTACTTCAAATTTTTTTTTCTTATGATTCTCAACGTTTTCTTGTTTTCTTTCCGTAAGAAGTTTCTATAATTTTCTTAGGTTTAATCATATGAAATTGTCACTTATGTAAATAAAAAAACAGCCAAATATCAGCAATTTCATATGGTTCAACATAATTGCTTTCCTCAGGACCTGGCAGATGCTAAATTAATACTTACTGAATGAATTAATAAATAAATCCTCCTATTTATCATTTTTGGTCAAACTATTCCAGGACATTTATATTGCAGAGCCCAAGGGCCTAGATAGCGTTGGGCAAAAGGCTCCTTACCAACTGTGGACTCAGAAGTCTTTAGTCATAAATGATCTTCCTAAATGTGCTGATTACCTGATTCTGTTAGTCCATGTCATCAACACGCTACAGATAAACCTGATGATACATACTCTTGTGAGCAAGCATGTGGTTACCTACATCAATGTTATTCTGTATGTATTTGCATGAATGTTAGTAACATCAATTTACGGAGTATGCATCTTTTTTTTTTTTTTTTTTTTTTTTTTTTTTTTTTGAGACGGAGTCTTGCTCTGTAGCCCGGGCTGGAGTGCAGTGGCCGGATCTCAGCTCACTGCAAGCTCCGCCTCCCGGGTTTAGGCCATTCTCCCGCCTCAGCCTCCGGAGTAGCTGGGACTACAGGCGCCCGCCACCTCGCCCGGCTAGTTTTTTGCATTTTTTAGTAGAGACGGAGTTTCACCTTGTCAGCCAGGATGGTCTCGATCTCCTGACCTCATGATCCGCCCGTCTCGGCCTCCCAAAGTGCTGGGATTACAGGCTTGAGCCACCGCGCCCGGCCAGGAGTATGCATCTTTTTGTGAGCATTTCTGTATACAGTTAACATCTCAAGAAGCTGAACTATGGAAAAAGAGAAAAGAAAGTTTGTTCAGACATTGTGGAAATTGAAAGGAAGGTTAAGTTTCTTAAAATACATTTCTATTTCAATCTCATTAGCAGTAAAATGACATATGTGTTATTCCCAAACCATTTACCTCTGGTATTCCCCTCCCTTCAATGGGCCTTTGAGAATTTATGCACACTGAAATAACAGCTGAGCTCTGAAGAAGAGATATATTAATTAAGGAAACATTTCGGGTTTCCTGAGTTACAAGGAAATTTAGTAAGTGAATCAGGAGGAGCACTGCAACTGAGGTTTCTGGTTTCTATCCAATAGGATTTCCACTTTACCCCTTAGTATTTGAATTTACTTAATCATTCAGTAACTGCACTTATGATTCATACCCTATGACTTATGAAGAGATTCTTTTGTTCTCTTTCAGTCATGAAAAGGTGAAATTCAAGATCTGACTCTGACATATAGTATCACCTTTTCAGGAAATAAAAGGTATACTTTTTTCTTTCTTTTCAAAAAAGAAAATTGCAATTTTTAAATAGCAGTGCAATTTGTACCCTTGTAAGACATCCAAATAATATAGAAGTTTATTAGTAAAATAAGTAAAAGGACTTTTTAAAACTGTTAACGTAAGTTTGCACAAAGCCCAAGACTTTTAAAAATGAACTCTGTAGAATCGTTTAAATACTTATGTCAGGAAATTCTGTTGTATTAAGTTAATGATTTTTTTGGACACATTTAATATTGCGAATATTTTCTTTGTATAGAGTCTGTTATAATGTATAATGTTGTAAAACTACATTTTAAAAAGTTTGTTGCCACTCTCACATCTTACTTACAAAATAAATTCCAGATGACTTTAAGAATTAAATGAAAAAATGACCCTATAAAAGAACGAGAAGGAAATATGTGTGGATAATATCTTCTCCTGGAGTGAAGAAGAAGTCTCTAATAACAAAAGCAAAAGAAAAATTATACATGTAGAGATGGATAAATTTGACCTTATCAAAATTAAACATTTTCCGACATGGTAAGACACTATTAAAGCAAATGACAAATTGGGAAAATATTTGCAACATATATGACAGATAAAGGATAGAGATCTTTACTCTTTAAAGTACTAAAACAAATCAACAAGAAAAAAGATCAGTTAAAAAACAGATATAAGACATAGATGATTCACAAAAGAAGAAATAAAAATAGCCAATTAGTAAACCTCAGAAAATGTTCAGCTTCACTAGCAATCAAAATGATAAAAATTTAAATAAGTTTTTTTGTTTTGTTTTGTTTTGTCAGTTAGATTGACAAAGAGAAAAAAATAATGACACATTCAGTGCTGGGAAGGGTATGGTGAAAAGGGCACTTTCTGCTCACTACCGGAATAACCATTTTAGAAGGCAATTTAGTAATTCACTTCAATAAGTGTGGAGACTCTGTTCTTAAACTTAAGAGATTATTGCCTCATCCATTTTCAGGAACTTAACTATTGCACTTTCGTGTTGCTGATTTATAAAGATATTTCATGATCATTCTCTAATTACATATTTAATGCCTCTTCAGTTATTTCTGTATTTTACTTATCATTTTCTACATATATCAAAAAAGTTAAGGATGAGTGTGGTGGCTCACACCTGTAATCCCACCACTTTGGGAGGCTGAGGCATGAGGATTGCTTGATACCAGGAGTTCGAGACCAACCTAGGCAACATAGTGAGACTCTCATCTCTACAAAAAAAAACAGAAAAATTAGTGGGACATGGTGTCACATGCCTATAGTTCCAGCTACTTGGGAGACTGAGGTGGGAGGATTGCTTGAGCCTGGGAGATCGAGGCTGCAGTGAGTGTGCACGCCACTGCACTCCAGCCTGAGTGACAGAGTGAGACTCTGTCTCAAAAAAAGTTCCAGTTTATTCTTCGGTTTTTAAAAAATAACAAGTTGACTTCAACAAAGTGAACTGACTCCCCCTCTACTTTCAAATGACTTTTTGAAAAGTTAAGAAATACTTCTATTATTTTCCATTACAAAAGCAATATTTATATTTATTATAGAAAAATTAGGAGATAAGGAAAGAGAAGAAAAATGCCTAATTCCACTTCCTAGTTCACCACTTGCAGTACATCATTCCAGGCCTTCTCCCATCCATACACATATGTATGTATTATACAGGTTATCAAATGAACTTCCAGAAAGGATTATAAATGTATATGTCCACCTCCATATAATGATAAATCACAAGCATTGTCCCTTTTCAAATAGTGGACATAAACATTTTAAGAAAATGGTTTAAAAATAGCCTCTTGGTTATGTGTAGTGGTTCATGCCTGTAATCCCAGCACTTTGGGAGGCTGAGGCAAGGGGATCACTTGAGCCCAGATGTTCAAGACCAGCCTGGGCAACATGACGAAACTCTCTACAAAATACAAAAATTAGTCAGGTGTGGTGGCACACACCTGTTGTCTCAGCTACTTGGGAGGCTGAGATGGGAGGATTGTTTGAGTCCAGGAGGTCAAGGATGCAGTGAACTGTGTTCCAGCCACTGCACTCCAGCCTCGGTGACAGAGTGAGACCCTATGTCAAAAAAAAAAAAAAAGGAACCCCTTATTTTTTTTAATTAGCATATTTTTGCACACTCATTGGCTATTTGTAGTTCTTTTTTTAAGTTCCCCATTTCTGTTTTTTGCTGAGTTGCATTTCAGCCAAGTGTAATCCCAAGATTGTGAAAACTCTTGTTTTTATTTGGGCCTAGTCTATTCTTGGAATTTCTACAGAAAAATAATCATTTTATCTATGGTTTGTCCTGTATGGAAATCGTAATCATGATAATTTGAATAACAGAGGTTACTCAAATGTTTCCTCTTTGCATTTAAGACCATATTACATATCTTTTCCTGAAAAAAAAAAAAATCACTGTCCTAATGATATCTCCTTAAGTGCTCTGGGGGACATAAGAATGAATGGTAATATAAAAAACATCTTTTAACTGAGATAAAATTTACATAACAAAATTTACCATATTAACCATTTTAAAGGGTACAACACAGGAACTTACAGTATATTTACAATGTTGTGCAACCAACACCACTATCTAATTATAGAACATTTTCATGGCCCCCAAAAGAAGCCCTGTACTCACTAAGTAGTCACTCCCCATTTCCCATTCCCCCAGCCCCTGTCAACCACTAACCTACTTTCTGTCTCTATGGATTTGCCTATTCTGGACATTTCATATAAATGGAATCATACAATATGTAGTCTTTTGTGACTGGCTTGTTTCTCTTAATATAATGTTTTCAAAGTTCATCTTTATTGTAGCATGTATCAGTACACACTCCTTTTTATGGTTAAATAATAATCCATTGTGTGGATATACGGCATTTTGTTCAACCTTCATTAGCTGATAGACATTTGGGCTGTTTCCAATTTTTGGCTATTATGAATAATGCTGCTATGAACATTCATGTACAAGTTTTTGTGTGAACCTATATTTTCCATTTTCTTGAGCATATACACCTAGGAGTGGAACTGCTGGGCCATATGGTAACTCTATGTTTATGTTTTGAGAAATATGTAACATTTTTAAGACTAAATATGTGTGTGGCACTTGGCTAAGCACTTGACTCCCATTTTCTTATAGAATTCTCACAACTTTCTGCAGTAGATCCAATTATTATGCCCATTTTACAGATGAGGGCACTATAGCTCAAAGATATTAAACAACTTGCTCAAGGGCTGACAGCTAGTTAGGACAGAGCCAGGATTTGAGCTAATGTAGTCTGGCTCTAGAATCTGAACT